GGTGGTAGACGGATTTGCTGTCGCACGGTTCCATACCACGCATGTGCTACCCGGGCCGTATATGTGGTTCACCACTTCAAGTTCCGGGGCCTAGGTTGACGACTACGATCACCGAACTGCACTGTGTGCACTGTACTGCGGCTGGCTCCTTGGAAAGGATAAGCCGGCTCCAGACGTGATTATGATCAGGATCATGAAGTTCCTTGGGAGTTTGGTATGACAGACGTGCCTAGCGTCACTTGGCGTTTTTTTTCCTTTTGAGGGGACACCTCTAGCTTTTGCACAACCAGATGCGAACTGCAAGGCAGCAGGAATGAATTCCTCGCCTCGGAAGTGAGGGGGTCAATTACGTTAGTTTGAAAACGTCAGTGACGTCAACTTTTGTCACGACAACGTCAGTGAGCTTATGCGGCTTTTAAACAGGAGCCAGAAGACCAACCGGAAACCCACCACACCCTGATAGTGCCGTCGCTGTTTGTTCGCAACTGCATATTTGTTACGGTATTCCACAACTTCTTCACAGCTAACATTCTTCAGTGAAGGTATCCCCCTATCCACAACCTGGAGACGCGCCTGGTAGAATTCAGCTTTACTTAACCTGTCGGTATCCAGTGATCACTGAGCAAACGATCTTTGTGGCCGTGGGGTCCACTCTGACTGATGTTTATCACACACGGGTGTGTAATAAAAAAACGAAAATCAATCAAATCGCACAGCATATCTAACCATGGATTAGGCAGTTCATACGTGCAAATCCCAATGTGCATATCCTTGGTCTACAGCTTAGTGTGGTCACCCCTGGTTTTCTTCAGTCCATTACCTGCCCTCATTATCAACATCGTACCAGCGAAATACAGAGAAGCAAACTTCACTGATCACTGCCAAACTCACAATGCATATGCAACGAGACTGCACCTTGACGTGGTGTGATGGCTTGTGCACCTCGCTGACCCAACGAGCTACACAGAATGGCTTTATCATGTCGAAGATCTAATCATGCCCGGAAGGTCAAAGGGTGGAGGTCGTCTCCTGGTAATCCAGGTTGGGGGTTCGACTAGAATTTGCGTTTCAGTCGGTAAAAAATAGTGAAGGAGTAATCGATCCAAGTAAATGGGCCTCCAGTTCGCTTCACCCGCTGCCTTGCGGATAGGGTTTTGTGGGAACTAAAGGCTTTGGTTGAGAACCCTAATTGTTGTGCTGCTTAGTGGCCGGACACCCTAGCAGTACCCGTCCATAAAACCCCATTGCACTACCTGCCCTGGCAAAAAGTACACGACGATTTAGTCTATTTGATAAGCACAGGCCCAAGCATTCGTAACTTGCAGAGATTAAGCACTTCAATCCGAGTGCAACCACGAGAGAGAGAGAAGTAAGGAGGTGAACTAACCCAGTTGGGAAATATCGCTTCACGTACACCGAACATCGGATATGGAACGACTCAAAATTTATCTGCGCTTGCATGCGGCGATAAAATGCCACATGCATATTCAAGATCAGATAACCTGCCGTTAACGAGCACACCGATAACGCTTTTCGATCAAGGTGGTTGGATCGTTTGCACAACCATAGCCATCACAAACTCGAGGATAACAAAGGATTGTGTGTGAGAGAGAGAGGGCGGGCGGACAACGCTGACAAACACCGCTTTTCGTGGGGAACTAGAACGAAAAAGAGTCGTGGGAGCTTGAACTCGGCTTCGTCTATTCCTACGAAGGGGATTGTAACAATGAAATAAACTTCTCAGGCACACTGTTCGAGGAGAAACAGTGCAGTGATCTTCCCCATAGAATCCATCTCCCTTACTGTAGATTGACAAGAAAACCGATAAATTTCAATTGTCCACAATTTGCTCACCTACCCAGGAGTTCACGAACTCGAATGTTCAGACTAACCTACTCCCTCCCCCCCACACACATCCATCCATCCTGAAACACGGATCAGACCTATTTCTCTGTGTCATGGTTTTATGACTTTGAAGGTGAAGGATAAAATCAGTTGCTTAGTGCGGCTCCCGGTCGCGGATAGGATGAAGACCACCTTGGAGATTAACTATGGATAGGTGAGGGCCACTACCTAGCTGTCCTGTGACTGGAACTACTAAAATAGTGTGGATCGTGGCAGGAACATGGCAACCGTACACACATACACACACAGAGGAACATAGACTTACCTCTTCCATGTGTTTTCGTGCGGCCAACAAACCACGAAGCAGGAGAGATTTGTAGTACTGAAACATGTCACTTTCCACACCACCCATCACTTCCACTTGCTCCGTGGTCAGCTTAAATGGACTAGTTTCAAAGCCCAAATTCTTCCCCGGTGAAGCGGACAACATGAAGCCGTAATCGATGTGAATCACGTGACCCTCGTTGTCTAACAAAATGTTCCCGTTATGGCTGTAGACAGACAGGAGAGAGGGAGGAGGTGTTTGACAAGCTCATAACACTCTGATACTTGAGTGCTAAGCTGAAGAGAATCAGTTGATCAAAGTGGGGTTTCAAAAAATGTAACCAATAGGATGGAAGAAAACAGATCA